TTGGTGTTTTGTTTTGTTTTATTGAGACGGAGTTTCACTCTTGTTGCCCAGGCTGGAGTGCAATGGCACAGTCTCCGCTCACTGAAACCTCTGCCTCCCGGGTTTGAGCGATTCTCCTGCCTCAGCCTCCCGAGTAGTGGGGACTACAGGCACATGCCACCACGCCCAGGTAATTTTTGTATTTTTAATAGAGATGGGGTTTCCCCAAGTTGGCCAGGCTGGTTTTAAACTCCTGACCTCAGGTGATCTGCCCGCTTTAGCCTCCCAATGTGCTGGGATTACAGGTGTGAACTACCACACCTGTCTGATGTAGAAAAGTTTTTAATTTTGATGAAATCCAATTTTTCTGTATTTTCTTTTGTTGCCTGGACTTCTTGTGCCATATTTAAGAAACTATTATCAAATTCAAGATCATTCAAGATCATGCATATTTTCTTATCTTTGTTTCTTTTCTTTTCTTTTCTTTTCTTTTTTTTGCAGTGGCGCAATCTCCACTCACTGCAACCTCCACCTCCCAAGTTCAAGCAATTCTCCTGCCTCACCTCCCGAGTATCTGGGACTACAGGTGCACGCCACCATGCCCGGCTAATTTTTGTATTTTTAGTAGAGATGGGATTTCATCAAATTGGCCAGGCTGGTCTCGAACTCCTGACCTCACATGATCTGCCTGCCTCGGCCTCCCAAAGTGCTGGGATTACAGGCGTGAGCCACTGCTCTGGGCCAAGATGATGCATATTTTCATCTATGTTTCCTTCTGTGAATTTTATAGTTTTAGCTTTTAAATTTAGGTCTTTGATCCTTTTTGAAGTAATGTTTGTATATAGTGTAAGGTAAAGGTCCAGCTTTATTCTTTTACATGTAGATATTCCATTTTCCCAGGACAATTTGTTAAAGAGATTGTCTTCACCTAGTAAATGGTCTTGGCCAAATAATTTTTTAGTGCATAAAATAAGCAGGATTATAAGGAAAACCAGTTACATTGAAATACAGTTATCTAAATATCAAAAATACCAAAATTCTGTTATTTAATAATATAGGTCTAATAACTACCATAATTTCAAAGTAGTGATGAATGTAACTAATATTTCAAATCTCCTTAGCAATTGTAATGTATATAGAAATGTTTGTGATTTCTACTGGTGACAAAGTCAAGTTCTGCTGATACTATTGTGGTTTGTTGCCAACATTCATAATTGAAGGAAATGCTAAAGAGGTTAGTGAAGTAAAGATATAAGTTCTCCTACGTAACTTCACATATATCCCCAAATACTATCTACAGATCCCTTGGGGGTCCACAAACCTCAGGTTAAGAATCCAGGCCGGGTGCAGTGGCTCACACCTGTAATCCCAGCACTTTGGGAGGCCGAGGCGGGTGGATCACTGAGGTCAGGAGTTTGAGACCATCCTGGCCAACATGGTGAAACCCCATCTCTACTAAAAATACAAAAATTAGCTGGGCTTGGTGGCATGCGCCTGTAGTCCCAGCTACTCGAGAGGCTGAGGCAGGAGAACCACTTGAACCTGGGAGGCAGAGGCTGCAGTGAGCTGAGATCATGCCACTGTACTCCAGCCTGGCAACAGAGTGAGACTTGTCTCAAAAAGAAAAAAAAAAAAGAATCCTTCATGACCTATATCATTATAGCAATCGTAATTACTCAAGTTGTCATCACTCACACTCTGAATTTACTAGTCCTTCTTGTCCCCTGGTTTATCACCCACAATTGGCACATGTTGGTATGTTGGCATGTTGGTGACAATTGTGGAAGGTCCCTACACAGCCCTGATGCAGACTGTCCCTTCCTTGAAACATTTTCCTTTGTCCACATCCTGCCTTTTTTAAGTTGTGCTCTTGGATATCCCTCTCTAGTCCTCTCACTTCCTCTGCTCCATGATGGATCTGGGGACATGTGCCAAAGAGGGTATTTGGGGGCAACATTGGCTTTGTCTCTATAAAATGATGGTCTTTTCCCCTAACTTTACCCTCATTATAAAAAATTATTCCCAGTGAAATTTCAACCTAACTCCTTTCTACCTTTCTTAGACTTGCCATCCAGACACTTAAATCTGACCCATTCTGCCTCCCATAAGCTTTCTAGCAACTGTTACTCCCTACTTCTAAAACATACGGTTCTCTCCACTTCTGAATTTTGACCAGAAAGGTAGCACAGCACAGTAGTTAAGAGCACAGTTCTAGCTGGGCACAGTGGCTCATGCCTGTAATCCCAGCACTTTGGGAGGCTGAGGCTGGCAGATCACGAGGTCAGGAGTTCAAGACCAGCCTGGCCAACATGGTGAAACCCCATCTCTATTAAAAATACAAAAATTAGCTGGGCATGGTGGCATGTGCCTGTAATCCCAGCTACTCGGGAGGCTGAGGCAGGAGAATTGAGACCAGAATGCAGAGGTTTCAGTGAGCTGAGATTGCGCCACTGCACTCCAGCCTGGGCTACAGAGTGAGACTCCATCTCAAAAAAAACAAAAAAAGCACAATTCTGAAGCCAGGCTGCCTGATTTTGAATACTAGTCCTGCTGCTTCTCAGCTGTGTGACCTTAGGTAAGCTATTCAACCCTGCTGTGCCTCAGTTTCCTTTTCTGTAAGATCAACATGATAATAGTACCTGCCTTATAAAGTGATTATGAGGTTTTAAAGAGTATTTGTAAAGCAACTAGGAAATAGCACTAGATAAATGAGGTTTTTTTTTTTCTTTTTTTTTTTTTTGAGATGGAGTATTACCATGTCATCCATGCTGGAGTGCAGTGGCACTATCTCAGCTCACTGCAACCTCCGCCTCCCCGGTTCAAGTGATTCTTCTGCCTCAGGCTCCCAAGCAGCTGGGACTACAAACCTGGCTAATTTTTGTATTTTTAGTAGAGATGGGGTTTCACCATATTGGCCAGGCTGGTCTCAAACTCCTGACCTTGTGATCCGCCCACCTCAGCCTCCCAAAGTGCTGGGATTACAGGCATGAGCGACTGCGCCTGACCATAAGTGAGTTTTTTAATGTAAATAAAATAATATTTTAACCCCATCTCTTTCTTTCTGCAGAAAACCTCTTAATATCTTTCCTCATTTTCTTCCTCTTTAACAACTGCAAATCCCCCCTCTTATCAAAATCTCCTCTGTGCTTTCATTTTGATTTTTCTATTTCTCACTTTTAAGATGTCTTAACTGGGCCGGGCGCGGTGGCTCAAGCCTGTAATCCCAGCACTTTGGGAGGCCGAGATGGGCGGATCACGAGGTCAGGAGATCGAGACCATCCTGGCTAACATGGTGAAACCCCGTCTCTACTAAAAAATACAAAAAACTAGCCGGGCGAGGTGGCGGGCGCCTGTAGTCCCAGCTGCTCGGGAGGCTGAGGCAGGAGAATGGCGTAAACCCGGGAGGCGGAGCTTACAGTGAGCTGAGATCGCCACTGCACTCCAGCCTGGGCGACAGAGCGAGACTCCGTCTCAAAAAAAAAAAAAAAAAGATGTCTTAACTGAAATCCAGATTCATGTCTAAATGCTAATACTGTTTCCCCATCAGCTTCAACTTCCATTCCTCTAATTCCCTCCTTAGTTCCTGTCACTCTTAAAGCCTCATCACTCCATGTCCATTGTATTTTTCACCATGGGGAAGAGCTTTGCTGACTTTGCCTTGGGTGGCTGGCTGGTCTTTCCCTAAGTGACACACAGAGAGGAAGGGAGACTGAACCAGGTGAAGGAACAAACTGTTCCAGTGTCATGCTCTACTCTCCTCCACAGAGGCTCATAATTAGAAAGAGCATACTTTGTACACCTGCCACACACCCAGGGACTCTCCTAAGAACAGCAATGTGATGTTCCTTCCAAACCAATGGTCTTGCTCATGGCTGTCAAGCAGCATTTCACAGCTGCCAACAGGAAATTTGGAGGCAGGAGAGTGGCTAGAACACTGAGCTAAAATCAAGGACCTTGTTTCTAGCCCCATCTCTGCTCATTCCTGTGACCTTGGTAAAGTCATATTTATTTGGCATTAATTACCTTAGCAATAGTAATGCCCATAGTTGTGAGAGTAAAACATATGTAAAATTACTTGTCTGAGCACGCACTTCAGCCCTGACTACGTTAAAGTTATATTTGTTGTTGTAGTCAAATCCCAATTATCTAGCTCAGTTTACACACGAAAAATCTTCATACTTTTTGCTTTCAACCCATGCTAAGATCTAAATAACAAAAAGCAATTTAAAACCAAATTGGTTTTCCTGGTTGATTAATGATGATTCTGTCATTTTAGATGATCTGAAAGTTAAAGCAGGTTTTCTCAATCTCAGGATCATTGACATTTTGGACCAGAAAATTCTTTCTTTTGGAGAATTGGTCTGTGCATTCTGTGATGTTTAGCCTCTACCCACTTGCCAATTGCAAGAGTCAAAAATGTCTCTGGGCCAGGCACAGTGGCTTATGCCTGTAATCTTAGCACTTTGGGAGGCCGAGGCAAGCAGATCACCTGAGGTCTGGAATTTAAGACCAGCCTGGCCAACATGGTGAAACCCCACTTCTACTGAAAATACAAAAATTAGCCAGGCATGGTAGCACATGCCTGTAATCCCAGCTACTCAGGAGGCTGAGGTAGGAGAATTGCTTGAACCCGGGAGGCAGAGGCTGCAGTGAGCCAAGATTGTGCCACTGCACTCCAGCCTGGGCGACAGAGCAAGACTCTACCTCAAAAAAAAAAAAGTCTCTGGACATTGCCACATGTACACAGGGGAACAAACTACATCTAGTTGAGATCTACTGGGCTAAAGGATAATAAAGTCTTATTTTATAAAGTTGTTTCTTTTTTTTTTTTTTTTTTGAGACGGAGTCTGGCTCTGTCACCCAGGCTGGAGTGCAGTGGCGCGATGTCGGCTCACTGCAAGCTCCGCCTCCCGGGTTTACGCCATTCTCCTGCCTCAGCCTCCCGAGTAGCTGGGACTACAGGCGCCCGCCACCTCGCCCGGCTAGTTTTTTGTATTTTTTAGTAGAGACGGGGTTTCACCGTGTTAGCCAGGATGGTCTCGATCTCCTGACCTCGTGATCCGCCCGTCTCGGCCTCCCAAAGTGCTGGGATTACAGGCTTGAGCCACCGCGCCCGGCCAAAGTTGTTTCTTTACATAACTAAGTCCTTAAGCACAGGACTTCATATTCTGTATTTTCTACTAATTTCTACGTGTCACAGGTCAAGGCCAGAGTAAATGTTTGGTAAAAATTTTAGTGCCATGTTCTCCTCTCCTCCACAGAGGGTCATAATTAGAAAGAACACACTTTATGCACCTGCCTCGCACTTGGGGACTCTCCTAATTGGGAATGACATGAATGTGTTAACTGCCCTTCCGCCTATCAATGTCACCCTCAAAACACTGTCCTTGTCAAGAGAAAACAACAGCAGTCCATTTTTCTACTGGAAAATTGGTAGGTTTAATTTTTCCCAAACATCCTATGAAAACACAGAACTGATTACATGCTGGATGTGTATGGCTTAGTTCTTGACATATACATAGCACTTGGTTCTGAAGCTAAGGTGATTTAGTCTCCCAGGGAACATGTGGTGATGTCTGGAGACGTTGTTGTTAGCTGTCACAGCTGAAGGAGGGAGTTCTACTGATATCAAATGTGTAGAGATGAGGGATGCTGCTAAACATCCTGCAATGCACAGGACAGCCCAACAACAAAGAATTATCTGGTCCAATATGTCAAACTGTCAGTAGTGCTGACAAGACTCTGCTTTTTCTTGGCTATGTGGGCCAAATGCCTTTTATTGGCTATGTGGGCATTTTCTTTGGAGAAACTAACCAAGTCTCTGCTCTTCTCTCACACAGCTGCTCATGGCACAGGTTCCTACGATGCATGCTTACAATCTTTCCCTTCCTAGAATGGATGTGTATGTATCGATTAAAAGATTGGCTTCTTGGAGACTTACTTGCTGGTATAAGTGTTGGCCTTGTGCAAGTTCCCCAAGGTAAGGAAGATATGAAGCCTGTTCATCCAAAGACAATGTATCAGACCTTGTCCACATGCCCAGGGTAAACAATTACTTGTGCTAGATGAATAGAAAAAAAATATTGAATTTTATTCACAGCATTACCATTTGTTCCCTTATCTGCCAGATTTCTAATGTCTCCAGGGTGGTTCCAAAAGACTTGATTTAGTTTAGACCCCTGAATGCTTTCCAGAGTACTTGTAACATCCACTCTTTGTTATTTTTTTCCTTAACTAGTTATTTCATACTCATGACTATAATACATCTCACTTGGCATTGGTTTTACCTAGAAAGGGGAAGGATAGGCTGGGCACAGTGGCTCATGCCTGTAATCCCAGCACTTTGGGAGGCCAAGGCAGGCAGATTGCTTGAGCTCAGGAGTTCCAGACCAGCCTGGCTAACATGGTGAAACTCTGTCTCTACAAAAAAATACAAAAATTAGTGGGGCCTGGTGACTTGTGCTTGCAGTCTTAGTTACTCTGGAGGCTGAGGTGGGAGGATCACCAGAGCCCAGGAGGTCGAGGCTGTAGTGAGCAGTGATCACACCACTGCACTCCAGCCTGGGCAACAAAGCAAGACCCTGTCTCAAAAAAGAAGAAAAAGGTAAAGGATAGGAAACATAGCATGCCAGCATCTCTCCAGCAAGTGACAAGCAATCCAGTGCCCACTCTTTGGTCTTCCAAGTAGCAGTTCAGATGCAAGACAACAAGATACACAGATAGGTGTGGGAGCTTATCTGGGCTTTACAAACTCGTTTCCCGAATAGGAATCAACAACTCTTGTAACAGTTCCATAAATATTGCTCCCAGAGTCCCACAAGGGACAAGTCCAGTTGTAAGAGTCACTATGCTCAGAGAATCCCAAAGGTGGGGCTTGCAACTGGATATATCTTTCATTCACAGTCCTCTTGGTCCAGATGGAATATACTATTTGGGCTCGTTTTTACCATAAGCAATTCTGCCTGGTAACACAGTTGCCATTCTACCATTATAAGGTTTCCAGGGAAACAGAGCTAGAAAGTTAACCCAAGATCAAATTCATCTTCAAAAAATAGAATGGGTTTTATAAATCCTTTACTCACAGTAGTTTATAGTTCCCCAGATAGTCTTTAAACACCTCCATTTCTCTATTTTTCTGAGGCCCAGCAGGCAGGGTTGAAGCTTGTGATCAGGCAGGCTGTGGATAGCACAAAAGAGGTCAAGAACATAAACAAGTTGTGGCTGAAATCTGACTCTAGTACAGCACTGTTAACTGGGGAAAACAGATGACTTTTTAAATCTTTACTTACTTATTTGTTTCTAAATTATCAAATAATAAAATTGGCTTTTTTTCCCTTTTGGTGTATACTCAGATTGATTTTAACACACATGGCTGGGACTGGTGGCTTATGCCTGTAATCCCAGCACTTTGGGAGGCCTGGGCAGGCAGATTGATTGAGATCAGGAGTTTGAGACCAGCCTAGGCAACATAGCAAAACCCCATCTCTACTAAAAATACAAAAATTAGCTGGGCATGGTGGTGTGCACCTGTAATCCCAGCTACTTGGGAGGCTGAGGCAGGATAATTGCTTGAATCCAGGAGGTGGAGGTTGCAGTGAGCCAAGATGGTGCCGCTGCACTCCAGCCTGGGTGACCGAGCGAGACTCCATCTCAAAAACAAAAAACAAAAAAAAAAACAAACACAGATATACATTTGTGTAACCACCACCACAATTGATGCAGAGCAGTTCCATCACCTCCAGAACTCTCATGCCATGCTTTTAAAGTCACATCCCCCTGCCAATCTATAACCCTTAGCAACCATTGATCTGTCCTTTAGCACCATAATTCTGTCTTTTTGAGCACATCATATAAATGGAATCATACAGTAGGTAAATTTCAAAGGCTGGCTTCTTTCATTATGCATTATGCCTTTGAGATTCATGCAAATTGTTGTGTGTATCAATAGTTAATTTTTATTGCTTAGTAATATTCTACTATACAGATATATCACAGCTTTTTGTTAATCCATTCACTTGTGGATAGAGATTGTGTTTCCAGTTTTGGTCTCTCACAAATGAAGTTGCTATGAACATTCATGCACAGGTTTTGTGTGAACATAGTTTTTATTTTACTAAGCTGGAGCTGGATTGCTGGTCACAAGGTACGTGTATGTTTAACTTTATAAGAAACCACCAAACTGTTTTCCAGAGTGGTTTTTGCTACTATTTTACATCCCCACCAGCAAAGCATAAGAATTTCATTTCCTCCACATCCTCATGAGCACTTGATATTGTCAATATTTTTAAAATTAAACTTTCTATTTTGAGATAATTATAGATTCACATGCGTTTGTAAGCAACAACAGGTAGAACCCATGTACCCTTTACTCAGTTTCCCCAAATGGTAATATCTTGCAAAACTATGGTACAGTCTCACAACCAGGATATCAGCATTGTTTCAGTCAAGATAGAGAACACTTTAACCACCAGAAAGATCCCTCAAGTTGTCTTTTGCTTTTGTTTTTGTTTTGTTTTGTTTTGCTTTTTTGAGACAGTCTCCCTCTGTCGCCCAGGCTAGAGTGCAGTGGCGCGATCTTGGCTCACTGCAAGCTCCACCTCCCTGGCTCACGCCATTCTCCGGCCTCAGCCTCCCAAGTAGCTGGGACTACAGGCACCCGTCACCAAGCCCAACTAAATTTTTTTTTTTAATTTTTTTTAGTAGAGATGGGGTTTCACCGTGTTGGCCACGATGGTCTCGATCTCCTGACCTTGTGATCCGCCTGCCTCGGCCTCCCAAAGTGCTGGGATTACAGACGTGAGCCACCGCGCCCGGCCAAGTTGTCTTTTTACAGCCACCACTACCTGCCTCCTGTCCTTATCTCCTCTTAATCCCTAGCAATCATTATGTTCTTCACTTCTACAATTTTAACATTTCAAGAAAGTTATCTAAAGGGAATCATACAGCATATAACCCTTTGGTATTGGATTTTTTTCACTCATAATTCTGTGGAGATTCATCCAGATTATTGTATATATCAATTGTTTATAACTTTTTAAAATTAATTAATTTATTTATTTATTTATTTTTGAGATGGAGTCTCACCCTGTCACCCAGGCTGTAGTGCAGTGGTGCTATCTTGGCTCACTGTAAGCTCCACCTCCCAGGTTCACACCATTCTTCTGCCTCAGCCTCCCGAGTAGCTGGGACTACAGGCGCCCGCCACCATGCCTGACTAATTTTTGTAATCCGCCCACCTTGGCCTTCCAAAGTGCTGGGATTACAGGCATGGGCCACTGCACCTGGCCATAACTTTTTATTTTTGAGTAATAGTCCGTGGTATAGTTAAACACTTACCCACTGAAGGATATCTGGATTGCTTCCAGGTTTTAGTATTACACATATAGATGATATGAACATTCATGTGCAAGTGTTTTTGTTTGGTGGTGGTGGTGGTGGTTGTTGTTTTTGAGAGGCAGTCTCGCTCTGTCACCCAGGCTGGAGTGCAGTGGCACAATCTCGGCTCACTACAACCTCTGCCTCCTGGGTTCAAGCAATTCTCCTGCCTCAGCCTCCTGAGTAGCTGGGATTACAGGTGCACACCACCACACCCAGTTAATTTTTGTATTTTAGTAGAGACAGGGTTTCACCATGTTGGCCAGGCTGGTCATAAACTCCTGACCTTAAGTGACCACCCGCCTTGGCCTCCCAAAGTGCTGGGATTACAGGCGTGAGCCACAGTGCCTGGCCTCATGTGCAGGTTTTAAAAATAAATGTTAAGTCTTCATTTATCTGGGATAAATGCTTAGGAGTGTAGTTGCTGGAGTATATAGGAGTTGCCTGTTGCCTTTTTTCACCAACCTGTTTTCCAAAGTGGCTTAACATATTACATTCCCACTAGCAATCTATGAGTGATCCAGTTGCTCTGTATTCTCACCAACATTTGATGTTGTCACTATTTTTTATTTTAGCTATTCTGATAGTCATGTAGTGATATCTCATTGTGGTTTTAGTTTGCATTCTCTTAATGGCTAGTGATATTTAACATCTTTTCATATGCTAATTTCCATCTGTTATTTTCATAAAATGGCTCTTCACGTTTTTTGCCCATGTTCTAGTTAAATTCTGTTTTTACTATTGAGATCTGAGCATTTTTTGTAGATCCTGGATACTAGTTATTTTGTTTTTGCAAAATATTTCAGGTTTTGCAAATATTTTCTCCCAGTCTGGAGCCTGCATTTTCATACTTTAACAGTCTTCCAGAGCAAAAGGTTTTGATTTTGATAGTCTCATTTTTAGTACCTTTTATTTTAGCCATTCTAAGAAGTATGTAGTGGTATCACATCATTGTTTTAATTTGCATTTCCCTAATGCTTAATGAGGTTGAACATCTTTTCATGTGCCTAACTTGCTATCCTCATATCTTCTTTGAAGGGTCTGTTCAAGTACTTGGCCTATTTTTCCATTGAGGTTTTATTTTTTTCTTGTGGTTAATTTTTGAGCTTTTGTTTTGTTTTTAGAGACAGGATTTTGCTCTGTCACCCAGGCAGGAGTGCAGTGGTGTGAACATAGCTCACTGCAGTCTGGAACTCCTGGCCTCAAGCATCCTCCTGCCTTGGCCTACTAAAATGCTAAGATTACAGGCATGAGCCACCATGCCCGGCCTCAACACCATTTTTAAAGAATATCCTCCAGTGAATTGTTTTTGCACCTTTGTTAGAGATCAAATAGGCATCTTTTGTGCGAGTCTCCTTCTAAATTCTCTTCACTCTATTCTATTGATCTATGTGTCTATCCGTTTACCAATACCATGTCTTGACAGTGAGTTTTAAGTTTGGGTGATATGCTTCCTCCAGCTATTTTTTTTTCCAAAATTGTTTTAACTATTCTTCCATATTCATTTTATAATCAGCTTATCTAAATTTACCAAAAAAGGTTTTTGTTTAGATTTTGATAGCTATTCCATTAAATCTACAGATTATTTCAGGGAGAACTGGCATCTTTATTATGTTGTCTTCCAATCCACGATTATGGTGTCTCTCCATTTGTTTAGGTCCCTTGATTTCTTTCATCAGCCTTTTGTAGCTTTCAGCATACAGATCCTACAGTTTTGTTAGATTTGTGCCAAAGAATTTCATTTTGGGGGTTTAAATGATGGTTCAGTCTCCAGTTATTCATTGTTTGCATATAAAAATACAATTGATATTTGTGTGTTTTTCTTGTATCCTGAAACTTCTTTATTAGTTCTAAGAATTTTTTGTAGATTCCCTGGAATTAACTACATTGACAATCATGTCATCTGTTAATAGGGACAGTTATGTTTATTTCTTTTTAATATGAATGGCCTTTATAACTTTTTATTGCTTGTTATACTGGCTAAGACTTCCCATACTATGTTGAATAAGGATAGTGAGAATAGACATTCTTCCCTTGTTCCTGAACACAGGGGAAAGCATTCAGTCTTTTTTCTTTTTTTTTTTTTTTTTGAGATGGAGTCTCACTCTGTCGCCCAGGCTGGAGTGCAGTGGCGCGATCTTGGCTCACTGCAAGCTCCGCCTCCCGGGTTCACGTCATTCTCCTGCCTCAGCCTCCCGAGTAGCTGGGACTACAGGCGCCCACCACCTCGCCCGGCTAGTTTTTTTTTGTATTTTTTAGTAGAGACAGGGTTTCACCATGTTAGCCAGGATGGTCTCGATCTCCTGACCTCGTGATCCGCCCGTCCCGGCCTCCCAAAGTGCTGGGATTACAGGCTTGAGCCACCGCGCCCGGCCAGCACTCAGTCTTTTACCACTAAGTATGATGTTAGCTGTAGGATTTTTGTTGATGCCCTTTATTAGGTTAGGGAAGTTTTCATCTACTCCAGTTTGCTGAGAAATTTATCATAAATGAATGTTGTATTTTGTGAAATGGTTTTTTTTTAATCTATTGATATGACCATGTGGTTTTTCTCTTTAGATGTTTAATATGGCAGGTTACATTAACTGATTTTTTGAATATTGAACCAGCCTTGCATTCTCAGAATAAGAGAATATTCACACTAAGTTACCATATGTACTAGTTGCATTCCTGCAAAAAGAAATTTTCATGTGGCAGCTACAACCAAAATGGCCCATTTGTATTAATATAGTCATTTTACTTCTATGAAAAAAATTTCTAGCGTATTCCTATGGTGCTGCAATGAGACAGCTAACTCTTGGAACTGATGCTTTAACTATGAGCCCCCTATCAGTTTCTACTTATATTTAAATAAAGACCAAAGTTGGAGAATATCCCATTGCTAAATTAGCAAGCCATCAGTATAATCTTGTATCAAAATAAGAATGACATAAGAGTAATATCTAGCATCCACCACAACACCTAGCACATAGTAGGTATTCAAAAGATATTTGTTGAATAAAAATGATTACATAGCTGGTTATGGTAGCTCACACCTGTAATCCCAGCACTTTGGGAGGCTGAGGAAGGTGAATCACTTGAGGTCAGGAGTTTGAGACCAGCCTGGCCAATATGGCAAAACCCTGTCTCTACTAAAAATACAAAAAGTAGCCAGGTGTAGTAGTATGTGCCTGTAATCCCAGCTACTCGGGAGGCTAAGCCAGGAGAATTGCTTAAACCTGGGAGGCAGATGCTGCAGTAAACTGAGATCACACCACTGCATTCCAGCCTGGGCAACAGAGTGAGACTCCATCAGAAAAAAAAAAAAAAAAGATTACATAGCTATGTGAATGAATGAATCCAACCAGCTCTTTTTTTTTTTTTTTTTTTTTTTTTTTTTTTGAGACGGAGTCTTGCTCTGTCGCCCAGGCTGGAGTGCAGTGGCACGATCTCCGCTCACTGCAAGCTCCGCCGCCTCCCGGGTTCACGCCATTCTCCTGCCTCAGCCTCCCTAGAAGCTGGGACTACAGGCACCCGCCACCACGCCCGGCTAATTTTTTTGTATTTTTAGTAGAGACGGGGTTTCACCGTGTTCTCCAGGATGGCCTCGATCTCCTGACCTTGTGATCCGCCTGCCTCGGCCTCCCAAAGTGCTGGGATTACAGGCATGAGCCACTGCGCCTGGCTACCAACCAGCTCTTAATACTTGATTAACGGATTGAATATTAGTTTAATTTATGTGAATAAGATAATTTGCAGTGTGAATAATTCAAAAATTGTACTTACATTTGAATACCTAATGACAATAATTTTATTCAAATGAAACAAAAATACTATATGATGAAGACCTTATTAAAAAGGTGCTGGATCTTCCTCATAGTAAAATTCCAATGTACAAATGTAGAATTAAAGAAGAAAATACAAAATCACCTTTATGAAAATACTACAGTAATAATTGTACATAAGATCTACCCAGTGGATGCTAAAACTAGTGGGTGAAAGTTTGCAAAACTAAGAAACAGTATTTGCATATTTTCAAAGTATCTCCCTTGAGATATTTATTAACTACCCCACTACTTTACAATAGAAGACTGAGGAGAAAATAGCTTAACTAAGTGATCAATGTGAGCATCACCAGTAGTAAAATATATGAATATTATGAATCCCGTGATATGATGTAATAAGAAAAATACAACATCATTTCTGTAGTATTCTTGCCAAAAGTGTATAACCTTAGTACAATCATGAGGAAATATAAGACAAACCAAAATTGGGGAGTATTTGACAAAATAACTGATCTATTAATACTCTTTTAAAGTGTCAAAGTCATGAAAGACAGGTAAAAATTAAGGAACTTTTATAGATTGCAGGAATAAGGGGAAATAACAACTAAATGAAATGTGAGACTCTAGATAGAATCCTAGAACAAAATGAAAGACATTAGAGAAAATACTGATGAGATTCAAATAAAGTTTTTAATTTCTAATGTTAATTTCCTAGTTCTGATCAATATACTATGACTATATGAAATGTTAACTTTAGGAGAAACTGTGGAAGGGATATGTGGAAACTGCATTATTTTTGTAAGTTTTCTGTAATTCTAAAATTAGTTTAAAATTTTTGAAAATTTTAAGATGTTGGGAAGTTTGGAAATTTTAATTCCTTCTGTTTCACTATGGCCTAAGTTTAAATGAGGCTAGATGACTTAATTCTCAGATTGCTAACCTAGTAATTCTCTTACCTTCCCAGCATTGGTTAGTTATTTAAAACCATAAATTTCAAAAGATTTTCTCTTCATGCTACACATTGCTTTTCAAGAGTAAATGGGGGCCAGGCATGGTGGGTCATGCCTGTAATCCCAGCACTTTGGGAGGCCAAGGCAGGCAGATCTCTTGAGCTCAGGAGTTCAAGACCAGCCTGGGCAACATGGTGAAACCCCATCTCTACTAAAATAAATAAACACATTTGAAAAAAAAAAATTTTAACTAGGTGTGGTGGTGCAAGCGCATGTAGTCCCAGCTACTTTGGGAGGCTGAGGTGGAAGGATCACTTGAGTCTGGGAGGTTGAGGCTGCAGTGAGCCAAGGTCATAGCACTGCACTCCAGCCTGGGTGACAGAGCAAGACACTGTCCACAAAAAAAAAAAAAGTAAATAGGGGCTATTCAAAATTATGATGGAGTGCATACACAGTATATTAAAGCAAGAAAAAGAAACACAAAGTATAAGAATTATAAAGGAATAAAGCTTCATTATTCACAGATGATTTTTTATGCAAAGAATTCAAAACAGTATAAAGAAAATTAATATGATTTTTAAAAGCAAAAAAAGATTTTAAGAAGGCATAAAAAATAAAAGAAAAACAAAGAAAATAATAAGATTTTATGAATATTGCTGGATACTAAATCAGCATATAAAAATCAATTATGCTTACGCGCAGTGGCTCATGCCTATAATCCTAGCACTTTGGCAGACTGAGGCAGGTGGACTGCTTGAGCCCAGGAGTTCAAGACCAGCCTGGCAACATAGCGACACCCTGTCTCTATGAAAAATACAAAAAATTTGGTTGGGCATGGTGGTGCATACCTGTAGTCCCAGCTACTTGAGAGACTGAGGTGGGAGAATTCCCTGAGGCTGGGAGGTTGAAGCTGTAGGGAGCTGTGATTACACCACTGCACTCTAGCCTGGGCAAAAGAGCGAGACTCTGTCTCAAAAAAAAAAAAAGCAGAAATAAAATTGTGTTCAGTATAACTCTTAATATAAAGTTCAAAATGGGAGCAAATTAAACTATATTATATAGGGATATGTACACTACTGATAAAGAAAAGCAAAGAAATTGTTATCATAAATGCCAAAATAATGAATCCTTCTGTGGGGAGAGGTGGTGTTGTAATCAGACCTGGGTGGTAGTTACGTGGGTGTTTGTTTTATAAATATTAAGTAAGCTTGACATCTATTAATCTATTTTAATGCATTTTCTACATGCATGTTATATTTCACAATAAAAATGGAGATTACTAAATTAATTACGAAAACTATTACTAAAGTAATTAGAGCAATTAAGACAGTACAATATTGCAAAGATAAACAATTAAGCCAATGAAACAGGAAAAAGAGTCACACATATATGAATCACACACACTGTGTATCAGATATGTCACTACAGAGACAGGCCTTTAGTGACAAATGATGTAAAACACTTGGGTCTCTATACAGAAAAAAACATTTCAGGCCTTTACCTTACACCATACACAAAAATCTATTCCTGGTTGATTAAAGACCTAAATGTAAAAGTTAAAGCAAAAAGGACATTTTGGAATAACATAAGAGAATATCTTTATGATCCTGAGGTAGAAAAAGGTTTCTTAAATAAGACACCAAAAGCAAAAGGAAAAGCCCAAGGGAAAAGACTGATCAATCTGAAGTAAGTACAATTTAAGAATTCTATCTATTCAAAGCCACTGTGAAGTTTGAAGAGCAGCTAGGCACGGTGGTTAATGCCTGTAATCCCAGCACTTTGGGAGGCTGAGGTGGGTGAATCATTTGAGGTAAGGAGTTTGAGACCAGCCTGGCCAACATGGCGAAGCCCCGTCTCTACTAAAAATACAAAAATTAGCCGGGCGTGGTGGCGCGCGCCTATAGTCCCAGCTACTCAGGAGGCTGAGGTGGGAGAATCACTCAAACAAGGAGGTGGAGGTTGCAGCAAGCCAAGATCAATCACCACTGTACTCCAGCCTGGGAGACAGAGCAAGATGCCATATCAAAAAAAAAAAAAAAGATTGAAAAGCAAATCACAGAATGGGAGATACTTGCAAAACAATATACAACGAAGGATTTATTTGTAATATACATACTCCTATAAATCCATAAAAATAACTAGACAAGGGTGCTCAACATTATTAGTAATAAATAAAGCAGAAAATGAAATTGAAATGAATTATCACCATGCACACTAAAATTAAAAATCTGGCATATCATGTGCTGGCATAGATGTGGATAATGGGAACTGTCATACATTACTGGTGGTAGTATAAATTGCACAACCATTTGGAAAACAGTTTGGCATTATTTAATAAATGCCCCAGAAGTTGAAATTCAAGCTATATATTCTTGAGTAACTTGTAAATCTGTGTACCAGGAGACATGCACAAGAATATTCATAGCAATATTGTTCATAATAGTCCCAAACTGGAAACAAAGACAGGATACCGTGAACCCTGGAGACAAAGAGAATGGGAAGGTAGCAGCCTTGGATTCTGATGGCTTTTTAGTTTGGTTCCAGTCTCTGATGAGGTCTAATTGCCCTTTGCACCCTTTTAATAAATGTCCTATTTTGTTTAAGCTAATTTGAGTAGATTTTCTGTTTCTTGCAATCAGTAGAGCCTTGCCTAGGGGACAAAAATGTGGTGAAGAAATCCTATAGATTACAAGAGACTTAAGAGACATATCAACCAATGTAAGGACCATATTTGGGTCCTGATTAAGACACACAGATTGTGAAACAAAGCACAACATGTAACAGCAAATAATTTTTTAAAGATCACCCCAAAACTCACCATACCTCTGGTTCAAGGTGAGATTGCAGTTATCTCAAGGTTCTACTGAGGCTGGAGGATCTGCTTCCAGGCTCACTCATATGGGTGTTGGCAGGCCTGAGTTCCTCCCCATTCTGGCTTCTCCATATTCACAGCATGGCGGCTGGCAGGACCAACTATATGTGTTGGGCCCAATACAAAATAAACACACAGGGCTCTTAGTTCAGAAATTATTCAGAATTTCAAGACAGTGACAGCAAAGCATTAAACCAAGTGCAAAGTCCTTCTAAGCCTAGGACTCTGTCTTGACTGCATAGATTACAAACCTTTGAAGCCACCTCTGGCAGGTAGTGAATGAGAGAGCAACCAAGATGGAAACCAAAAGTCTTCTTGCAACCTAACCTCAGAAGTGATATCCTGTCATTTTTGTTATAGTCTACTCCTTAGAAACAAATTAGTAAGTCTATTCCACACTTAATGGGGAGGAAATTATATAAGGGCAAGAATACCAATTGATCATTGTACATCATCTTAGAGACCCTCTACCACAACAATCATTTGTAAGATAATCAGGGAAATTTGAACACTGAGTGGATAACGATGATATTGTACTAAAATTACAAGAGTATTATCATTTAGAGACACATACCAAAATATCTACAGATTAAATAATCAAATGCCTTGGATTTGCCTCAAAGTAATATAGGGTGAGAGAGGAGTAGGAGCATAGATTGGTTATGGGTTGACCATTGAAGTGGATGATGGGTGTATGGAATTCATTAAACTCTATTTTTGTATATGTTTGAAATGTCTTATAAAAAGGAGCCTTGCTTATCTAAGACAATAAACCACCTCACTAAATTCATCATTGAATTTAGATGAGTATATTGGTATGATGTAAATTGAGGACAGACTCTTAGGGAAGGAAATAGGGGCTTGAAACATCAAAAGGATGACACTATGCCTGTTAGTCTATTTGCTTCAAAATTTCCAAATTCTCATGGTGCTTCTTAGAAAAGAAAGTATTAGAGAAGGAGCTGAAGGAAGAGGCTGGAGTGACTGGCCTATGGAAGAGAACCAACACATACCAACTTCAAGTCAGTGAAGTGTGATTCTTGCCTTGCTCTCCAGTTTTATCTTCAGCCCTGGAGAATTCCCAGGGCCTGCTTGTGCTTAGCTAGGAATAAGGATGGGGCTGCTTTTGAGCTGTTGGAATTAGGGATCTTATTGCTGTGGTATTTGCTTCACAAGTTTAGTATTAAGACCTTGCAGTGAACGATGTTTCAGCCTATGATACTGGATTGAAGTGTAAAAAGCATATGGCAAAATAGGAAGAGAAGCTAGGAATCAAAGCAGATAATAAAAAGTACTAATGAAGTACTATATGTTCAGAAATACTGTTACCACACTCAGTCAGCTATACACATGGATGATTTTTATTTTAAATATTCTTTACAGCTTTTATTTAAGGTGACTTTTAAAGCCAAGCTGCTTTTTCTTAAATTATCTTGTTTTTCAGGCCTGACACTTAGTTTGCTGGCAAGGCAACTGATTCCTCCTCTCAACATCGCGTATGCAGCTTTCTGTTCTTCAGTAATTTATGTAATTTTTGGATCATGTCATCAAATGTCCATTGGTGAGTTCAGCACTGAAATACACATGTGGTGGATGAAGTTTCCATCCTGATCATATATTTATTGCTAAGGAGCCCAACATAAAACTATCTTTAAGATAGAAAGAAAGGAAGCAGGAGGTGGACATTCTATCCATACAGTTAGTGTTCAGATTGTAGAAATAAATACTTCTAGTGTATCATTATTGTCACCACCAGAAAACAGGCCAGCAAGTTGTTTCCCAAAGAAATTAAAGGGTAGAGGTACTTTCCTTGATAAATCACCACACATTGGCATCTGACTTCCCTCAACCCAGAAGATTCAGAAATGATTATGTGAATACTCCTAGAGCAGATATTTCTTTCATCTGACCCATATTAACCAAACTCCATGGGCTGACTTGTAATACAGCGAGCCAGCTTACTAATTTACAATGAGAAAATGTTACCACAGTAATCAAAACACTGACATCCCTAGGATAAGTACTTCCCTTCCCTGAGTCAAAAGTCCATCTACTAATTTATAATTAGAAATAACTTATTACAGAGGCCAGACTAATTAAAGGTCATAGAATCAGCACATTTACTTCACCTAGGTGAGCCTGCATAGAAATCAAATCACAAAATTCCCCCATAAGTTTAGAAGGTTATTGCCAGTATTTACTCAGTGATGTGCCTTTTCCTAGATTTCTCCACTGAACTGACCAATCCACCAACATTTACCATTCTGAATGACACATTCTTTTTTTTTTTTTTGAGACGGAGTCTCGCTCTGTCGCCCAGGCTGGAGTGCAGTGGCGCCATCTTGGCTCACTGCAACCTCCGCCTCCCAGGTTTACGCCATTCTCCGCCTCAGCCTCCCGAGTAGCTGGGACTACAGGCGCCCGCCACCACGCCCGGTTAATTTTTTGTATTTTTAGTAGAGATGGGATTTCACCATGTTAGCCAGGATGGTCTCGGTCTCCTGACCTGGTGATCCCTCCGCCTTGGCCTCCCAAAGTGCTGGGATTACAGGCGTGAGCCACCGCGCCCAGCTGACACATTCTTTATATATGTTTTTATGTTCAGTCTGATTAACATCCCATCCTTCCAGATGTGAAGTGCTACTTTTCCTTTTTTAGGAATAGCTGGGCCGGGCACGTTGGCTCACGCCTGTAATCCCAGCACTTTGGGAGGCCAAGGCAAGCGGATAACGAGGTCAGGAGTTTGAGACCAGCCTAGCTAACATAGTGAAACCCTGTCTCTACTAAAAATACAAAAAATTAGCTAGGCGTGGTGGCAGGTGCCTGTAATCCCCGCTACCTGGGAGACTGAGACAGGAGAATTGCCTGAACCCGGGAGGCGGAGGTTGCAGTGAGCCAAGATCACGCCATTGCACTCCAGCCTAGGCAACAAGAGTGAAACTCCATCTCAAAATAAAATAATAAAAATGAAGAATAGTTCATGTCTTTATTCAATCCATTATGTGTTGATTTTACATTTGAACACCAAGAAAACAACTTTATTCCTATATTTCCAAGTTTCTGAGGAACCTCACAATCATTTCCAAATACTTATAATAAGGGTTGTTAGAAATTTATTTATGTTGGGTAAATTTAAAGTTAAGGTGTACCTTTGCTCTCATATGTGGTATGACAATATGAGGACTAAACAAAATAATGTTTGAAATAAGTTTAATTTACCTCAGTGTCAGTATTATTTTTCTTCCTATTGTTACTGATTGCTTCGTTTTCTTTTTTCTTTTTCTTTCTTTTTTTTTTTTTTTTTTTTTGAGATGGAGTTTTGCTGTTGTCGCCCAGGCTGGAGTGCAAATCATGCCATCTCGGCTCACTGCAATCTCCGCCTCCCAGGTTTAAGTGATTCTCCTGCCTCAGTCTCCTGAGCAGCTGGGATTACAGGCATGTGCCACTACGCCCAGCTCGTTTTGTATTTTTAGTAGAGATGGGGTTTCTCCATGTTGGTCAGGCTGGTCTCAAACTCCTGACCTCAGGTGATCCACCTGCCTCAGCCTCCCAAAGTGCTGGGATTACAGGTGTGAGCCACCACACCTGGCGGTTGCTTTGTTTTCTAGTATTTTCGCTGCCATCTCACTTTTAACCTTCTCTAAGAGCAGACACAGTAGCTGAGCCGACACCCATTTCAGTCAACTTCTCTATTCCACTCAACATGCCCATAATACAAAGAGACTAAATACCTACACCACCACCATCTAAATTCCATGAGTTGGTCACAATATGTGGAGCCACAGTTCTCTTTCTCAATCTTTCTTACTTCTCAATGGCCACTTTCAAATGAGAAAAGTTATTCAGATGAAGGACAAGCCAGAATTCAACTATACCTTGCTTTTGTCAATATCAGTTTACCTGGACTTGAAATTTCACCTTCCGCCTAACATCTTCTTCCATAGGTTCCTTCTTCCTGGTGAGTGCTCTGCTGATCAATGTTCTGAAAATCAGCCCATTCAACAATGGTCACCTGGTCATGGGATCGTTCCTCAAGGATGAGTTTTCTGCCCCCTCCTATCTTATGGGCTATAATAAATCCTTGAGTGTGGTGGCAACCACAACTTTTCTGACTGGGATTATTCAGGTAGGATCTGAGTCTTCAAATCCCTTAAAAGGAACTGAATAAAGGGGCTATAAACAGACCCCTTCCTTATACTGCTCCTGTGATCCATTGTGATATACCTGGAACTGCAGTGATTGATTTTTTGAAAAATCGGAGGCTGTGTGAATAGGGTGTCTCCTTAGTGATAAACTTCTCTCTCTTCAGAAATCATCTACCACTGATTTAGGATGAGATATTGAACATTCTCTTCAGTCCTTTCTCCTCTAAGACAAAGGGTGTAAGGGACAATGGTCCAGAGCAGTGGTCCCCAACCTTTTTGCAACCAGGGACCAGTTTCCTGGAAGACAATTTTTCCACAAATGGCAGGTCAGGGCCAGGGAGGGTGGTGGTTTTGGGATAAAACTGCTTCACCTCAGATGACCAGGCATTTGGTTCTCATAAGGAGCACGCAACCTAGATCCCTTGCATATGCAGTTCACAATAGGGTTCATGCTTCCCTGAGAATCTAATGCTGTGGCTAATCTGACAGAAGGCAGAGAGCTCAGGCAGTGATGCTTGCTTGCCCGCTGCTCACCTCCTGCTGTGCAGCACCCAGTTCCTAACAGGCCACAAACCAGTACCAGTACCGGTCCGTGGCCCCGGGGGGTTGGGGACTGTTAGTCCAGAGTTCCACTCCTGATCTTAGCTTTTAAAAAATTGCTTCATATTCTTTTTTTTTTTTTTTTTTAGATGGAGTTTTGCTCTTGTTGCTCAGGCTGGAGTGCAATGGGACAATGGTGGCTCACTGCAACCTCCACCTCCCAGGTTCAAGTGATTCTCCTGCCTCAGACTCCCGAGTAGCTGGGATTATAGGTGCATGCCACCACACCCAGCAAATTTTTGTATTTTTAGTAGAGAAGGGGTTTCACCATGTTAGCCAGGCTGGTCTTGAACTCCTGACCTCAGGTGATCCACCCACCTCGGCCTCCCAAACTGTTGGGATTACAGGCATGAGCCACTGTACCTGGCCAAAAATTGCTTTATATTCTATCAACAAGAATAGCCTCATCTAGCTGGGCATGGTAGCATGTGCCTGTAGTCCTAGTTACTCAGGAGGTTGAGGTGGGAGGATCACTTGAGCCCAGGAGGTTGAGGCTGCAGTAAGCTGTGATCATACCACTGCACTCCAGCCTAGGTGACACAGTGAGACCCTGTCTCCAAAATAATAATAATAATAATAATAATAATAATAGTAATAGCCTCACAGGCTCACACATTATCTTTGGGTTAGTAAGCTTTAGAGTCAGATCTGGAATCCTTTTTCTGCATTGACAAGGACCACAGCTAAAGGACAATAATATGAATGACTCATTAAAATCTCAAAACTTATTTTGACACTGTCTTTAATTTCCTCTGAGAGTCTATCACCAAAAGTTCATCCACTGAACTCAAGTTACATCTTCCAGGCTTATTTCTCTTTTTTCTCAACTAACCCACTCTCTAGTTGATTTTCACTGATCTCCCCTGGGACTGTCTTTCATTAGGTAAAGATTTATTGGGTACCTACAAAGGCAGGCTATCAACGTGGGCAGACTCCAGCCCTGACACTATGAGCTGTGTGAACTTTGGTAAATTATTTTACCTTGGTGGGCCTCAGTTTCCTCATGTGTAAAGCAGGAATAATATTTGTTTTGCAGGGTTCTTAGGAGGATTAAGTGAAAAAAACGCATGCAAAGTATTTAGCCTAGAGCCTGTCACATAGTAAGCATCAATAAGTTATACTTAGTTGGCACAGAGAAATGAATTTGGTACTTTAACAGGCCAAAAATTTAAAAAACAATATATAGTTTCCTATGGTTAAAAAGTTTAATCTTGTGGGATAAGACAAAATACACAAGCAGCCTTTTAATTGTCAAGCGGCCTCATACATGCTTTCTCTCCTCCTTCAAGCCTCAGCTTTTTTCATCTAAAAAAGGAAGAGGGCTGGGCATGGTGGCTCACATCTGCCTCAGCATCCCCAACAGCTGGGACTACAGGCGCACACCACCGCGCCCAGCCAATTTTTGTATTTTTAGTAGAGACGGTGTTTCACCATGTTGGCCAGGATGGTCTCGATTTCCTGACCTCGTGATCCACCTGCTTCAGCCTCCCAAAGTGCTGGGATTACAGGCATGAGCCACCATGCCTGGCTATAATATAAATTATATATATGTATATTGACATGTAAAATACCTTTTTTTATTTTTCTTCAGGATATGCATAATCCTGAAAACAAATAAATTCAATTTAATCATTCTCAGTAAAGATAAGAGTCAAAGGCCAAGAAGTTTGAGCTTGATCCCACTGTTTTGGAATTATCTTCTCCTTTGTGAAAAGCTACATTCCTCAGAAGAATGTTAACATCTCCTGAAAAGGGCTATCAAAGCTTCTAATGAAAGAGGTTTAAAAAGGCAAAGGCAGGCCAGGCACAGTGCTTTCATGCCTGTAATCCCAGGGTTTTGGGAGGCCAAAACAGGAGAATCACTTGAGGTCAGGAGTTCGACACCAGCCTAGGTAACATAGCAAGACTCCCCACCTCTACGAAAAAAAAAAAAAAAAAAAACTTAGCTCAGTGCTGTGTGCATCTGTAGTCCCAGCTACTTGGGAAGCTGAAGCAGAGGATCCCTTGTGCCCAGGAGTTTGAGGTTAGAGTGAGCTATGATTGCACTCCAGCCTGAGCAATAGAGTGAGATCCTGTCTCATAAATGAATAAATAGGCAAAGGTTTGTTCTGATCACCTTGTCCCTGTTTTCCCCAAGTCAACCTAGAGAGCAGTAGATTCCAGGGCAAGAACTTAAGTGAGCTGACTGCTCACAAAGGAGGAAAGGAAGTACTAGTGTGGGCTAGCACTTGTCAGGAGGCTCTGATCAACATACAAGGACCCATGTTATCAACTTCTGTTCATTAGGGAAAGAGAGTTATAAGAGTTACCAAAGGGGCCTATCTTAACTTTTCTATTGGAAACTCTTCTTTTCCTGGAGAGCGCCATTGGTGCCATTGCTGGATTGAAGACATTCTGCCCCACTCTGGTTTTCTCTTCTCTGCAGCTAATAATGGGCGTATTGGGTTTGGGCTTCATTGCCACTTACCTTCCGGAGTCTGCAATGAGTGCTTACCTGGCTGCTGTGGCACTGCATATCATGCTGTCCCAGCTGACTTGCATCTTCGGGATTATGATTAGTTTCCATGCCGGTCCCATCTCCTTCTTCTATGTGAGTAATTTCAACTCTTATCGAGAGTTACAAATGCCACTCCTCTTGCCTCCAAAGAGAGGTGGACCTCAGTGGGGAGACTCCTGCCCGTTCTGAAAGGAGACACAGCCAATAGCAGCTTAGTCAAGAGGGTACTAGAAATATTTTCCTTTATTGGAGAATTAGGGTCTTGATTAATTGCAGATGCCAGACCATGCTTTCAGTTGACTAACCATTTCAGTCAGCCTTTTAAACTATCATGATATACATTAAAATTTGACCTTTAAGATATTGTATATATCACAGTTCTTTTCATTACCTACCTTATAACAGACATGTCTCCTAAAACATCTGAAGGATATACAATACTAAGTAGTTCCTGAATGTAAGAATAGGGTAGGAGCTAAGCTACAGTATATTATTTGGGAAAACTAAGAACTATTGGCTTATAAACAGAACTTCTAGGGCCTGTTCATTATACTAAAACATACAGTGTATTCTCTCCTTGTCCTTATTGAACATTACTGTCCCTCTTTTTACATAAATGGTCACCCCCACCATGCTTGCCCTCACTATTCTAGTAATGCCCATAGAGACCTTTGTATCCAGAAACTCTACTTGGGGACTTCTTTTTGAGTTAATCTACAGTGTCCATTTCTAGACTTAGGCAATTACTATATCCCTTTCTAAGCCTCTGTAATTTTATTTTCTTTCAGGACATAATTAATTACTGTGTAGCTCTCCCAAAAGCTAATTCCACCAGCATTCTACTATTTCTAACAGTTGTTGTTGCTCTGCGAATCAACAAATGTATCAGAATTTCTTTCAATCAGTATCCCATTGAGTTTCCCATGGAATTATTTCTGGTAGGTGTTTTTGACGTCCCAAATTCATAGTTTACATAATTTTAATATTTTTTTAAAAGTTGAGTTGAATTGTGTAAAAGCTGAATACATTTAGTTTTCGATATATGCTTATATTTGTGAAAACATGCTTATTTTCTTTTTCTAAAATATTTTGATACTATAGTTGACAAATAAAAATTGAATCTATAGTTTATGATGTGATATTTTGATGTAGATACACATTATGAAAAGTTAAATCAAGTTTGTTTTTTTTTTTTTTTTTTGACAGAGTCTTGCTCTGTTGCCCAGAATGGAGTGCAGTGGTGCAATCTTGGCTCACTGCAACCTCTGCCTCGCAGGTTCAAGCAATTCTCTTGCCTCAGCCTCCTGAGTAGCTGGAATTACAGGTGTGTGCCACAATGGCAAGCTAATTTTTGTATTTTTTTAGTAGAGATAGGGTTTCACCATGTTGACCAGGCCGGTCTCAAACTCCTGACCTCAGGTAATCCACCCGCCTCGGCCTCCCAAAGTGCTGGGATTACAGGTGTGAGCCACCACGCCTGGCCTAATTATCATTTTTAATTTTTTTCACCTTGCACCCCTAGCAGCAGTTATTATTTTTGTTGTGAGAGCATTTAAGATCTACTCTCTTAGCAATTCCAAGTACACATTATTAACTATAGTCACAATAGCACAATAGATCTGCCTCACAAAATGCTTATTTCCAAGTACTTTTATCTATTGCCTCATTCTCATAATATTTCAAAGATAAGGTTTTTTTCCCCTTGTGAAAGAAATACAGGCTCATTCTAAGTTTGAAAAACATAAGGAAGTTTAAAAAAGTGGTAGAGGAAAAGAAATTCCTATAGTTGCACCGTCCAAAGTCAACTACTAATGATATTTTAGTATTTTCAGTTATTCACTCCTTTCTTCTCTCAGACAAACATATGACAGGCCTAGCCTCAATGTTGGTGAATTTCCATCTTTTTCTACATAAATGTTTTATTTTTATTTTAATGTAGTTGAAATCATACTGTTATTCAACCTCCATTCCTTCTCACTATGCTACAATAAGGAAATTGAGGCAGCTCATCCCTGGACTTGAACATAGGAGCACATCTAGATTAGAAGATGTCAGACTCAGAGGACCTTCCTAAAAAAATTAAAATAAAATGAAATCCAAGAATTGAGGCACAAGCAATCTCATGTTTAAACGATAACAGACAAAGGGCCAAAGAACCAAGGAGGAAATGAACAGCCCTTTCCTATGGCTAGAACCAGATGCATTCACAAAGGAAAGATACGATGTTCACGGAGAAACAACTGGAAGATCTGAACATCTTGTTCAATAAGAACCCATACCCGAACCCCAGCCTTCAGAAAGAAATGGCCTCAAAAATGGACATGTATCCAACAGTACAGGTTTGGCTCAAGAACCACAGAGCAGAGGCTGGGTGCGGTGGCTCACGCCTGTAATCCCAGCACTTTAGGAGGCCAAGGCAGGCGAATAACCTGAGGTCGGGAGTTCGAGACCAGCCTGACCAACATGGAGAAACCCTGTCTCTACTAAAAATACAAAATTAGCCAGTTGAGGTGGCACGTGCCTGTAATCCCAGTTAGTCGGGAGGCTGAGGCAGGAGAATGGCATGAACCCAGGAGGCGGAGCTTGCAGTGAGCTGAGATAGCACCACTGCACTCCAGCCTAGGCGAAAGAGCAAGACTCCATCTCAAAAAAAAAAAAAAAAGAACAAAACTCAAGCAAGCAAAATGCAAGCTTATTCAGCAAACACAATCTCAACAACAGCAATTAGCTGAGGATAGAGTCAAGACCAGTCCTTCCCAAGAAATACAGACATACCAGTCAAATCTCCTAATGATGCCTATCTTGTAGCCCTAGTTTATATAGATCACTGGGCACCCTGGTTGCGACTCACCTTATGCCCCAATGTTAAGGTCCCTACAGATGACTTTGTTGTCCACAAAACAGTTCATTTTGGCTACTGCCAAGATCCTAGAATATACTGCTTCTGCTTCTATCCCATTTTTGGAATCCTGATTTTATTCTCCATGCTTCAATTCTAATTGTTTTGACTGTTCACCTCTACAAAGTAGAGAGAGATACTAGACACAAAATGTAACATATTGTAATGTGTGTAATGATTTCCTACAAGAGAGTACTTTTCAGCAATAAGGAACAAACTGGAGATAAACACACACACGTTGTGTGTACAACATGGATGGATTTCAAAAACATTATGTAGCATGAAAGAAAAAAGACACAAAAGGCTACATACTGTATAATTCCATTACATGAATTCCTAGAGCAGGAAAAACTAATCTGTCATGACAAAAAGATTAGTGGCTGCCCACGTGGAAAAATTAAATAGTAAGTGGTAGAAAATTAATTTATTAGGGTGATGGAAATGTTTCATGTGTTAATTAGGTGTTAATTAGGGTGGCAGTTACCTGGCATATAAATTCCTCAAAACACATAGAACTGGCCGGGCGCGGTGGCTCACGCCTGTAATCCCAGCACTTTGGGAGGCTGAAGTGGGTGGATCACAAGGTCAGGAGATCGAGACCATCCTGGCCAACATGGTGAAACCCCATCTCTACTAAAAATACAAAAACTTAGCCGGGCGAGGTGGTGGACGCCTGTAATCCCAGCTCCTCGGGAGGCTGAGGCAGGAGAATGGCGTGAACCTGGGAGGCAGAGGTTGCAGTGAGCCGAGATCGTGCCACTGCACTCCAGCTTGGGCGACAGAGTGAGACTCCATCTCAAAAAAAAAAAAAAAAATAGAACTTTATATCTAAAAGCTTTGCACTTTATTGTATCTAAATTATACCTTCATAAAAATAAATATATATAACAAAGAAATTGAGGCAAATGAGATGTTAAATGTTTTTTCTAATCTATGTCATTAGTAAGTAGCAGAGCTAGGGCTCGCTGTCTAATAATAATGTTTCTTGTTTCTTTTCTTTTTCGCACCTGGCCTCTTGTTTCTTTTCTAAAATCTGCTGGTAAAATTTATATGTTACAGTTATAATTAACATTTTACCATGATAAAGATATTTTCATCAATAAAGCTCAGATTTTCTAAGTCAGCATTTTTCATTTTAAGATTGCTGAATTCGGGGCCTGGCATGGTGGCTCATGCCTATAATCCCAGCACTTTGGGAGGCTGAGGTGGGCCGACCCGCTGAGGTCAGGAGTTCAAGACCAGCCTGGCCAACATGGTGAAACCTTGTCTCTACTAAAAATACAAAAAGTAGCCGGATATGGTGGTGTGTGCCTATAATTCCAGCTACTCCAGAGGCTGAGATAGGAGAATCGCTTGAATCTGGGAGGCAGAGGTCGCAGTGAGCCGAGATCACGCCACTGCACTCAAGCCTGGGCGACAGAGCGAGACTCCATCTTAAAAAAAAAAAAAAAAAAAAATGAGAATTATTTCTTTTTTAAGAGGTGGTCTGTGGCAAAGATGCTTCAAGTTAACCAAGTAATCGTATGCCCCCTGCACCTCCCAGTCTCTCTTGCAATTAGGAGGACCCAGTGACTTCAGCCAAAGAAGAGGTGAATAGGTGCAAATTCCCTCTTCTTTCCTCCCCTGCTGTGATGATGACAGGAGCAGTATGTTAAGAAAATGGAGACTGGGAGCAGTGGCTCACGCCTGTAATCCCAGCACTTTGGGAGGCTGAGACGGGCGGATCACGAGGTCAGGAGATCGAGACCATCCTGGCTAACATGGTGAAACCCGGTCTCTACTAAAAATACAAAAAAATTAGCTGGGCATGGTGGCGGACACCTGTAGTCCCAGCTACTCGGGAGGCTGATGCAGGAGAATGGTGTGAACTCGAGAGGCAGAGCTTGCAGTGAGCCAAGATTGCGCCACTGCACTCCAGCCTAGGCGACAGAGCAAGACTCTGTCTCAAAAAAAAAAAAAAAAAAAAAAAGAAAAGAAAAGAAAAGAAAAGAAAAGAAAAGAAAATGGAATCCCCAGGTGAAATTAGCTCAAATCCCCGGGGCATTGTTTGCAAAGAAGCTGCCTGAGAGACACCAACACACCACGGACTTTGAGTGGGCAAAAAAATAACTTCGATGTGTTAAAATGCTACAATCTCATGACTTGTATGTTGCCACAGCATAACCCATCTTACACTAACTAATCCAGGTCTATCCTCTTTAAGGTTGAAAAATACTGTCTTGAGACTTTAGACTAAACTTTCCTATGACTGTTGCCTACTTCTTGTAGAGGTGCATATTATTTTCCCTTTGAACGTGTGAAAAGCTATTAATTCATAAAGGCCAGAAGCTGAAAGGCTTGTTTTTCAAAAGATTTTTCAAAACCCTGAAGGCAGATCCAGCAATCCCACTATTGGGTATGTATCTAAAGGAAATGAAATCAGTATGTTGAGTAGATACCTGCACTCTCATGTTCGCTGCAGCACTATTTAAAACACCCAAGATATGGAATCAGCCCAAGTGTTCATCAATAGATAAATGGATACATGTGGTATATACAGGTATTAGTTGACAGACATGTAACAAAAAATGATTTTTAAAAAATTGTGGTATACATATACAATGGAATACTATTCAGCCTTTAGAAAAAAGGAAATCCTTCTCCTTAAAGACTGGGTATTTGGTTTTAAAAAATTAAAATAAAATAAAAAATAAAAAGAAGGAAATCTTGTCATTTGGGACAACATGGATGAACCCAGAGGACATGTTAAGTGAAATAAGCCAGGCACAGAAAGACAAATACTGCATGATCTCATTTATATGTGGAATCTAAAAAGGTTGAACTCATTGAAGTGAAGAGTAGAATGGTGGTTACCAGGGGCTAGAGTTGCAGGAGAGTGGTTTGGGGAGATGTTGGCCAAAGGATACAAAATTTCAGTTTGATAAGAGGAATAATTTCAAGAGATCTGTTGTACAACATAGTAACTACAGTTAGTAACAATGTATCATATTCTTGATACACCATGTTGGCCAGGATGGTCTCGATCTCCTGACCTCGTGATCCACCCACCTCGGCCTCCCAAAGTGCTGGGATTACAGGCATGAGCCACCACGCTCAGCCCTCTCTTAAGCGACATCAGCACCAAGGATCATAGTGATGTTCCTTCAAGCAGCCTGTAAACCCAGATGTATCTGACACAGGTCTCAATCAATTTAGAAAGTTGATTTTGCCAAGGTTAAGGAAGCCCCTGTGACACAGCCTCTGGAGGGAGGTCCTGACAACATGTGCCCAAGGTGGTCAGGGTACAGCTGACGCAGGAGAATGGCGTGAACTCGAGAGGCAGAGCTTGCAGTGAGCCAAGCTCACATTAGGGAGACACAATATATCCATCAATACCTGTAAGATTTACACTGGTTTGATCTGGAAGGGTGGGACAACTTGAAGGAGTGGGGGCTTCCATATCATAGGCAGATTTAAAATTCTTCTGATTGGTAATTGATAGAAAGAGTTATTATCAATAGAGATGAATGTCTGGGTTACAGTAAGGGGTTGTGGAGACCAAAGTTGTGTCATGCAGATGCAGCCTGCAAGTAGCAGGCTTCAAAGAGAATGGGTTGTAAATGTTTCTTATCAGACTTAAGGCTCTGTTTTGAGGTTAATGCTGGTTGACTTTTCCTGAATTCCAAAAGGGAGGAGGGATGTAATCAGGTATGTCTGACCCCTGCTTCAATCATGGCCTGAACTAGTTTTTTCAGGTTAACTTTGGAATTCCCTTGGCTAAGAGGTGGGGTCCATTCCGATGATTGGGGGCCTTAGAATTTTGTTTTTGGTTTACACAGCCTTGAAAGCAATCAACATGAACCAGAGTTATAAGGAAAAGAGAGAAGTGAGAGTGCAAAGAATGTTGTGGTTTGTCTATGGCTGACAGATTGGTTTGTGAGCCACAGTCAAGATATTGCTCTGGGGGCCAGGCTCAGTGGCTCACGCCTGTAATCCCAGCACTTTGGGAGGTGGAGGCGGGTGGATTGCTTGAGGTCAGGAGTTTAAGAACAGCCTAGCCAACATGGTGAAACCCCCATCTCTACTAAAAATACAAAAAATTAGTTGGGCATAGTGGCGCACGCCTGTAGTCCTAGCTACTCAGGAGGCTGAGGCAGGAGAATTGCTTGAACCCAGGAGGCAGAGGTTGCAGTGAGCTGAGATTGCACCACTGCACTCCAGCCTGGTCAGCAGAGCAAGACTCTGTCTAAAAAATAAAAGAAGAAGGAAGAAAGAAGAAGGAGGAGAAGAAGAAAAAAGAAAAAAGAAGAAAAAGAAACGAAAAGAAGAAAAGGAAGGAAGGAAGGAAGAGAGGGAGGGAGGGAGGGTGGGAGGGAGGGTATATTCCTTTGGAGAATGCTATAAGTAATTACAATGCCCCACGAGGTAAGGTAGGGGAGGAAACAGAGGTCCAGCAATAAAATAGGTGAAGGCTTAGAATAATTGCAATTTAGGCATTAACCTTTTTTGTGACCTACTTTGTGCTCACAGGCTATTGAAGCCTGCAATACACTACCTATACACATGTCAAGTCAAGTGATGGGGACAGAGTTTCTGCCACATAGCAGGGATTAGAGATGCAGGTTAGAACTAGAAAAAGACCTCCCTGTTACCCCTAGCGGTGAGGAAAATGAGACAGGGAGGATGGAGGCACCCATGGTCTAGGGTCTAAAATGCCTCTCACAGCACCCACGAAGAAACTACTAATGTTTAGATGTGCTGGAGGAAACTGCACACATCTATCAATCTGTCCTTAAGAGCAGACTCAGCTGGGTGCGATGGCTCACACATGTAATCTCAGCACTTTGGGAGCCCAAAGTAGGAGGATCACCTGAGGTCAGGAATTCAAGACCAGCCTGGCCAACCTGGTGAAATCCCATCTCTACTAAAAAAATCAGCCAGGTGTTGTGGCACATGCCTGTAATCCCAGCTACTTAGGAAGCTGAGGCATGAGAATCGCTTGAACCCAGGAGGCAAAGGTTGCAGTGAGCTGAGATTGCACTACTGCATTCCAGCCTGGGCAACAAGAGCAAAACTCCGTCTCAAAAAAAAAAAAAAAAAAAAAAAAAGAGCAGACTCAATATTTAGGAAAATTTTCAACACAACAACTGAGATCCAGGTAGACTATACTGGTAATTCAAGGGACCCTTGGCTATAAGAAATTATACACACTATATGTTCATAATTTATGTCTATTTAAGCTGTATAGCAAACACAAAAAAAGTAACAATAGTTGTCTTTGGATGAGTTATTTCTGTTTTTCTATGTTTCATATTTACTTCATTTTTCTCTGTGAGCAAATATTACCTTTATACTGGAAATAAGAGTTCCTTGCCATACTTGCCATACTTCTTGCCTCTTAACTATATGGAAACCAAGACTCTTCTTCTCTGATCCAAGCTGTAATCCAGATTCTTCCTTCCATTCTAATCTGTAGACTTCCTAGGGGTATTCGTCAGTATCACAGGTTAGCCAGCTGCTGTACTGTTCAGCGTCTGGTTGAACTCCTGCAGTAGATGCTGGGGAAAGACGTACGTGTTAGTAGGAAGAATAGGATAAAGCAACTGTATAACTGCTATTTTAAAACCTAGGAATGGAGGTGTCTTGTCTCCGGTTTAATCCGCATCAATGCAGAGTCTTTATAAGCTATAACAGCTGCTAGGTTGTCTCTTTTCCCTCTAATTAAAAGTCAGGGACTAAAGGGAGAATTGCCATTTTTAGAAGTAAATGAAAGCGGGCGGAAAGCAGGTACTTGCTTTGCTACAGAACTTTTTCTTTGTGCAATTAAATGTTGCTCCACATTATTAAGGGTTAATCATGTTTCTCTCTTCATATACCTCAACAAGCCCCTGAAAGGCATATCTGTATTATTACAATGTACCTGGAACTAAAAACTTTTGAAACTGAAAACTTGATACAGCCATTATCCGAAAACAGGTTTATATTAATCTAGATGTTTAAAGTTGGTGGGGAGATTCCCCACTTCCTGATACACTCTGAAATACACATCTCTTTATTTAAAGAGGAGCAAAGAGACAGGTATTTTCCAAGTCATTCTGTATTTAAGTGGATCAATCTCACTGAAAGCCATTGAGATTCAAAGATATTAAATATTAAAACAAGAAAAAATAAATAAAGTTGGTGGGGCTACAGAAGTTCATGGCATCCATTTGTTTCCATCACGTGTCACAGACCAAGTTGTTTCGCACTCCGGCTACAATGCCGAAAGGAGCTTAGAGAACCAAAAGCTTCAGGAAAGATCTCTAATGCCTGCCTTGCTCCGCTGAACTAGCCACGCCTCTCTCTCCGACTTGCATGCATAGGGACTGCTGCCTGTTTCATTTTCTGTCCTGCCAGAGGCTATGGGCAACTCTGCTACTGGAAGCGATGCACTATATTTAGGTAATCATATGCCACCCCCCCTTTTTTTTTTTACCCCCTACAGATTATTGGCTTCACTGTGATTGCAAACAAGATAACCATGGCCACAGAAACCAGCCAGACGCTTATTGACATGATTCCTTATAGGTCAGTAATTCCACTCTTCAAGATTGCATTTCTCTTTCTGATACCCTCTCTTAGCCTCTGACCACACAGCCTGATTGATATTTTCTACTAGCAGTCTCTGGCTAAAGCAAAATTCATTTTAGAACACAGAGGTTCATGAAAGGAGAAGGGCTAGGGACAACTCGTTGGGTCTTCTCTGGTCAGCCTCTGTCTCTCTTATAGTTGAGCCAGTCCTCTTATCCAGGAAGACTGTTACATGCACTGAATACCAGAGAATCTCATGTGTTTTTTTAATAGCACATGATAGGCCTTCTGAACTACCATACCTCTCTGATTAATTCTCAAGGAGCGGACAAGAGATGCCTCGGTTTTTCTAGCCTCTCTCCTGTGGCTCTGTGTTCAGAAGATGAACGTTCCTTCTGCCTTCACAAACTTAGACTAAATTGATGCCCTACTTTTATTTATGTATTTATTTTTGACACCGGGTCTCATTCTGTTGCCTAGGCTGGAGTGCAGTGGCGCAATCACGGCTCACTGCAGCCTTGAATTCGCAGGCTCCAGTGATCCTCCCACCTCAGCTCTCTGAGTAGCTGGGACCACAGGCGTGCACTGCCACGCCCCGCTAATTTTTTGCATTTTTAGTAGAGACAGCATTTTGAATGTTGCTTAGGTTGGTCTCAAAATCCTGGGCTCAAACAATCCTCCTGCCTCGGCCTCCTATAGTGCTGGGATTTCAGGCGTGAGCCACAGTGCCCGGCCAGAACTGGTGCCCTTGAGCAACATTATTTTCTTACTCTGGGTAGAAAGTGATCTTCAAATAGCCTGGCATATGGAGTTCTTAAGGACTCACAATCAATTTACATTATAATTCTTACCAGTGACTATGAGGCGCGGCTCTTGCTTCTGTTAGGAAATTATTTTTTTTTTACCCTTAATCAGATGAATCACATTAGCTAAGAAAGGCAATATACTGCAGTTTCTTGACTCACAGGGAGACTTTTGAAGAGCATTGCCCATTTCCTCACGTTGTATAATAAGGAATCCTGTAAAGAGTGAAGCCTACTTGCTAAACTCCAGGATCACAAAATGTAGGCTTTTTTTTTTTTTTTTCTTTTTGAGACCAGTCTTGCTCTGTCGCCCAGGCTGCAGTGCAATGGCACCATCTCAGCTCACTGCAACCTCTGCCTCCCAGATTCAAGTGATTCTCCTGCTCAGCCTCCTGAGTAGCTGGAATTACAGGTGCCTGCCACCATGCCTGGCTAATGTTTGTATTTTTTGTAGAGACAGGGTTTTACCATGTTTGCCAGGCTGATCTCGAACTCCTGGATCAGGTGATCCTCCTACCTCCACCTCCCAAAGTGCTGGGATTACAGGTGTGAGTCACCACACCTGGGCAAATGTAGGCTATTTTGACACAACCAGTTTGAACTAGTCTCATATCCTACTCAGTTCTCAATGAAATCTGATGATGACTGAATCAACTTGAAATTCCAGTCAATTAAAAAATGTGGGCAGACACCACCTAGGTACTAGGCAATACAAAGATAAGCAAGACACGGTCTCCGTCCTCAGGAAAAAGAAAATAATAACAAGAACGACAGTGGGATTGACACTTTACATATTTGTATTATTTCATTTGCTCCCCACAGTAATGCTTTGAGGTAGATATTGTCTTCTTTTTTAAGCTAAGGAAACTAAGGCTTCCCATGTTTAAATTACTTAGCACATTGCTCCTCCGTGGCAGAGCTACCATTTGAACATATTTCTCCTTAATTCCAAAGTCTATAATTATAACCACTCTGTTATACTTACACAATATGCTTCTATTATCAATGACTTCAAAACCACACAGCCAGGCTGGGCACAGAGACTCATGCCTGTAATTCCAGCACTTTGGGAGGCCAAGGCAGGCAGATCATGAGGTCAGGAGTTCGAGACCAGCCTGGCCAACATGGTGAAACCCCATCTCTACTAAAAATACAAAAACTAGCTGGGCATAGCGGTGTGTACCTGTAATCACAGCTACTTGGGAGGCTAAGGCAAGAAAATCACTTGAACCAGGGAGTTGGAGGTTGCAGTAAGCCAGGATCAAGCCAGGATCCAGCCTGAGCAATAGATGGAGACTATCTCAAAAAGTAAAAAAGAAAAAAGAAAAAACCCACACAGCCAAGTTTCACTTATCTCTTATCATAAAATTCAAAGGTACAGATGGACAAGTGAGCATTTCAAAAGTTGAATTTTAAGTGTTGCTTTGAGCTTTCTCTTTTATTATGTATTTATCCAGGGTTGCTAGAGAATAGTAAGATTGGACAATTTGAGTTAGCTCCTGCTGTGTCCATGTTCCCTTTGAACCTCATTTGCTAACAAGAATTGAATGTTACAGAGAACAGAAAGGAAAAACAGTATTTTACGTTGTTATCATACTAAATATTCAAGCTTTACTAATATAGATTGGGGTAGTAAATTACATTTACTGTGTACCTCTTTAGGACAGCCACATTCTTACCTAGCTTTTTAAAAAGACAAAAAGGTGGAATTTGATAATAACTTAAATAACTACCTCTAAGCATTCAGTTATGCTTCTACTTAGCTAATTACTGGGAAAATGCAAAGGAACTTGTAAGTTATAAATTATAAACAAGGAATTAAAATAGACAGTAGGGCCAGACGCAGTGGCTCATGCCTGTAATCCCAGCACTGTGGGAGGCTGAGGCAGGCGAATCACTTGAGCTCAGGATTTCAAGACCAACCTGGGCAACATGGTGGGATTCTGTTTCTCCAAAAAAAAAAAAAAGATTAGCCAGGTGTGGTGGCATGCATCTGAAATCCTAGCTACTTGGAAGGCTGAGGTGGGAGGATTTATTGAGGAAGGTTGAGGCTGCAGTGAGCCATGATCACGCCACTGCACTCCAGCCTGGGTGATACAGCAAGACCTGGTCTCAATACAAAAAAAAAAAGAAGTTGAAGAAGAAAAGAAGAAGAAGACATAGTTGGATGGTGAAGAAAATGACATTTAGCTCTTCGAGGTGCTAAAACTTAATTCTTTCTACTCAAAAATAAAATGTAAAATGTAAGAACTAATAAGGAATTTTAATTAGATAAGGGATTATTTGCTTTGTGGAAATATATATCACAAAATTTCTTTTAAAATAATTTTCCCAAGAGTTATTTACATGATTCATTATATTGAATTTGGATTTTTATATAATTTATCAAAAGGAAATCAACTGTTGAGGCATACATATTTGTCTTTGATGAAATGATTAAAGATAATCAAAAGAACGAATAAGCATTTCAAATAGCAAACCTTATCTAAAACACTTAGATATTTTTTCTGACTTAGAAAGTAATCTAGAGAAATAAAAAAGGAAGCATATTTGTGCTTCCAGATTTGACTTAAAGAATTACGCCAGTATGGATCTATGGAAAAACACTACTCCCTCTAAATCATCAAGATTTCTTTTTCCTTCTATAGTCTGTTAATATTGTGCTTGATTTCTGACTGTTAAACTAATGCTTCATTCTGGAATAAACCCCACTTGATCATAGTGTATTATCCTTTTACATATTGACTTGCTAAAATGATAAGAATTTTTGCATTTATGTTTATGAAGGATATTGGCCAGAGTTTTGTTTTGTTTTTCGGGTTTTTTGTTTGTTTGTTTGTTTTGTTTTTCTTGTGCTATCTGTGTCTGGTTTTGGTGTCAGAGTATATTGACTTTTTTTTTTTTTTTGAGACTGAGTCTCACTCTATCACCCAGGCTGGAGTACAGTGGTGCGATCTCTGCTCATTGCAACCTCCGCCTCCCGGGTGCAAGAGATTCTTGTGCCTCAGCCTCCAGAGTAGCTGGCATTACAGGTGCACACCACCATACCCGGCTAATTTTTTGTATTTTCAGTAGAGACAGGGTTTCACCATGTTGGTCAGGCTGGTCTCGAACTCCTGACCTCAAGTCGTCCATCCACCTCGGCCTCCCAAAGTGCTGGGATTGCAGGCGTGAGCCACTGTACC